GAACCCTCTGAGTACTCATTGCCTTATAATAATTGGGCCTCTTGTCTACGTAGTTTCCTTCAGATTCGCTATCCGCAGTATACTCCCACTGGAGAAGTCCCAAATGCCCGAATGACTGTTGACCCTATGGCGTTGACCGGTGCGACCGGGGACAACGAAGGGCCCGCCACAGCGAAAACAGCAGGGGAAAGTGACGCACAACCCTCTGGACCGCAGGACAATCGACTAAGGATCCCCGGTTATAGGGAGAAGTCTTACCTGCTAATCGCGGAAGATGTGAACGCTGATAATAGTCCAGGAGTCACGAATTTCTTATGCGCATGACTTTTCCGCCGACGCCTGATCATAAACAGCTCCGTCCTGAGGAGCACGACCCTCCCGGTCGAATTAGGAATGTCAGTCACGCGGCATCAACGATTGATGGAGGGCCCCTGTATTTTGATTGACAACAGCGGGATAATACTTATGATGGAACGAGCGATGACAACCGAAAGCATGTCCCTGAAGCCCACAGGGCTGGTCCAGTGCCCCCGCGCATCGCAGCTGTTCGTGGGCGTGCCTATAATACGATCAAGGAGAATGCGCGCAAAGTACGTGACCCCATATTTGCGCTGCTTGGGGAGCTAGAGGTAGAAATTTGTGAGCAAGCGCTCATTTTTATCAAAGCAGAGTTTGACTCGGATGACAGACCAGACCCCATTCCCCAGGAGGCCAACAATGCACTTGTTCCCCTAGTGCTGCCGAATGACGCCACTGGCACAGCCGAGGAAGCGGAGGCAAGGCTGTTGAAGCATGGCCGAAAGCCCGTCACGCTGGGAGGATCGTAATCCGGGAGAAAGCGCAGCCACCGAACGCACTCCCAAGCGCTATTCATAGGCGAGCGCGCGGTGTGCATGGCGAGACATTGCGCAGAGCGCGCCCGATCATCGGGTGGGTGGGTGTATGCAGGCGACCTCAATCAGAAGATGACGAACGACGGTATAACACATGCCACTACTGCCCGCGCAATGCACGGCCTGACAACGCTGCCGCCAGGAGAAGTTGATGTTCCAGGCGTCAGGGCCGATGACACTGACATCCTTGAACAAACGCATCTAATTGAGCAATAGCGGTCCTTTTTGAACCCAGATGCCTCACGCGACACAGTCGTTGATGAGGACCACGGGGATCTAGCCATCACCACCGATAGGGATGAACGGGCTGCTATGTCCATGCCATTGTTCTTTTGTGCATGCCAAGGACACTCTTGTTTTGCTCACAACATCGGGCGCATGTATGATCCTTGCCAATTTGGGATGGCACGGTGCCATGGGCACCTGCTGCATACTACATCCTTAGAAACTACAAAGGAGTCAACTTTGGGAAAAGGGATCATTAAGTTCCCGAACGAGCTCAGCGGCTTGTGCAAAGCACCTGACTACGGACTTCTTAGACTGATACTGACGAGGCGAGGGTTCCCTACGGAATATGCTGAACACGTCCCCCACTGGCTCAGCCAGCAGAAGGATGGTGAGGCTCCACCCGCCAGGGTATATCAGGCTGAGGGCAATGCCCCTTTTGGCGGTGGACCCCCCAATCGGGGTGCTTGGCCTCAATCAATCGCCCCGTCTTTCTGGGACACTGATGTGACACACAATGAGAATTGGCTATGTGTTGTTGTCTTTAATGGACGGGTAGAGACTCGCCTTAGGTCTCGAATCTGTCGTGGTGGAACTCTTGTGACCACGGGACAAGCACGTTTCAATGATATTTCGCGTATCGTACAACTGCAAGTGGTTGAACAGGTTGGCAGAATCACCGTGCCACAGGTGATGTGGACCTTGATATTTTCACAAGAGGGGTTTGCGTGGGAGGTTGCTTTCTCGTCTGATACAATCAGAACCTGGGGCTTCTCCGATAAACAAGTGGTCGATATCGGATAAAGTACTTTGTCCGAAGAGGAAAAGGCCCTCATCATGCGGATAATGTGGACTGACGATGGGAGGTGCATTCGCGCTCAATACCATGCCGTGAGGGCTGGTTTTGGATACTGTCTGCATTACCTTACCCCTTGTCAGGTACAAAACATACGTCATAGCGAATTACTTACAATCGCCTGGAGAAAAGGCATTAGCTGCTGCATGGACGAGATTTGGACTGAAGCCACGCCTTGCTGCCGCCCCGAGAGGAGAGAATCGATTGAAGATGATTTTCAACAGGCTCAGAGCAATGAACAAGAGCTCTGCTGTTGCTTTGGACAGTTTGAGCAAGGCCGAGCAGCACCAGCGCAAGTGGGTTAATGATGAACACATACGTTTCATGACTGCTCTGGCTGGTGGTACATTCATGAATTCGCAACCAGGGACCGTTCCTTCCTGGCGACCTGGCAGCGTCTCGGCACAGCCGCCGGCGCGTCACGAGCCATACTTTCAGTATCTTGAACCCCTCAAGCTCAGGTTCATTGACTGGCTAGAGCACAAGCATGGGGATGCTCACCCCGCGGCTGCCTAGTGGTGGCCATTGATTTGGACGCCAGATCTGGACCAACATGCTCGCCATATGAGATGCTCTGCGTTTGCCGCTTTCGATTGGGAACATGTGAGTGCAGACCAAATTCGACCGGAGACAGGCTGGGACCAGTGGGAACCAGAGATGGAGAAAAGAGGATTTGTCATTCCATCAGTTCGAGTGTTGACGGATAATTTGGGAGCAGCGAAACGAGCATCTGCATCGACCCAAGTAGGGGACATCGATTTCCGAGTCGCTGCTGAACTGTATCATCGGCCGAATCGCAGTGATGAAGTAGTCTCGGAACGTGAAGAGCAGATTGCGATGTCGGATGGCATATGCAATAACCATATCTCACAGCGACATCCATTGCAAATTCCGAGTAGATCGTCGCCTTTTTGGCTTGACCTAATTACTATGTATGGTTGCATGTGTGGTCAACACTACAACAATGAAACTTATCAGAGGCCAGATGTTCTCCTAGTTTCAACACAATTTGTTCTTGAATACTGATCGATTGCTCCAAATACGAGCCCGTTGGACACCGACATTATCCATGACGTACCGCCGGGACTGCCCGAGCTTGTGGATCGAACTTGGAATCAACCTTTCGATCGCATCCCCACCCATGGAAGATGGGGACGCGTTTTGTTAGCTGTACGAGAAGTCATGTTGTTATTCATGTCCGCGGGAATCAACGTTGCGTTTCCGGGATACGAGGTACAGCGCAATCCGCAATCCACTTAAGTTTTGCTAGATGCTGATGCTTTGGATTGTCGGATCCGAGCTGCTGTAGAGACATTTGATTTGCTTCGTAATGTGGCCGACGGATTAGGAAAGGAAGCATCTGAGACCGCGCGACGGAATTGCTTAGGCATTCGAGAGGCTATGGTCTTTGTACACACGTCTACGGAGCCCCGATTCAGTGTCAAGATTTGTTTCGCTAACCGCCTTTTTGGGGTCTTCAATACTGATGCGCTATTGGGATCACCTATTGCCTTAAGAAGAAGAAAAAAAAGAGTGGCCCAGCCAACTCCCCCACCGAGACAGTCCCAGCCGAGTCGCCAGCAGACGCTGTAGCCCCAGTCGTTGAAAGCATTACCCCGAGCGGCACCGCCGCCTCGGGGCGGCGGACTCAGCAATGCTCTCGCCCGGCATCGCGACCGAGGTTCCAGTGTGGAAGGCAATGTCATCGGGCCGCTCCCTATGCTCCTGCGTCTGCCGGCTCAGCCGCTTCAAGCACCAATGCCGGTTGGGTCGATTATGACAGGATTCGGTCGTGGGCGGATGAATCCTGGACTCAGGAACCCATCCCCCAAAGACTGGCCGTGGATCTGGTTGGCGGCCGCGCGCGCGGTGGCGATGGCCCCGGACCGGCCGTGGACAGCGTGTTCGACGCGACTTTCGACTACGAAGACAAGACTGAGAATGGAGGAATTCGAGGATATTATGTACATGTATCCCGGCATCGTCAAGTCACCGGTCGTCGCAAAACGCGGCAATGGTTTAGTCTGGATGAGTGCAGGGGCAAGTTCCAGCGCGACTCTGGGACGCCAAGTACCATGCCTGTGTCTCCCCCGCCGCCGTCGCACAAGGCGAGACCGTCGGAGAAGGGCCAGGGCAAGAGCGAGCCAAGTGGCTGGACTTCGAGCAGAAGAGAGGACAGCGCCTCCAGGGACCAGAACCAGTGGCGCTGGAGTAACAGCGACCCCTGGAAAGACTCGAGAGTGGCGAGGTCGATGGAGAAGGTGATGGTGCGCAATGGAACCTGCGCGACAAAGTCGATGCTGGTCCGCACTACTTCGTGGGGCGGGTGCACCAGGTGTGCATGGGCATTGAGGCCCGAGCTGGAAATATTAGCTCAGGCGGGGAACGTCGGGCTTCTTCGGCCTTCCGCCCCCTGGCAACCACCGCTCGACGGTAAAATGCTTTTTGGGGTTCGCTCTGGTGGCTGTACATATGTACAAGCCAGGTGGGTTGGGGGTCGGGGCAGCTCTACGGATCCCGCCGCGGGGGGAGTCAATGCACCCCTTCCGCACCACCATTATTTTGCCCTGCCTTCTCTCTCCTTTCGCGCGCTGTCCGCCTGCTGTGCTGACTTGTTCTGCTCCCGCAGCTATATACTTTGGCTCTAGGGAAACGGAGAAGGAGCGAGCCTGCGGCGCGCGCGCGTGCGTCGGCCGGCGGGCTGGCCTCCTCCTTTCAGTGTTACTTTAGTGTAGACGGCACTATCCCTTTTTACCTATGTCATCCACGGAGCCCATTGACCATGATATCTCATCGAGACATCTTGCAGGGATTATGAATATCCAGGCAAAAGACTAGAGCCCCAGCTTCGTGATTTGTTTCGCAACGTAGACCCCCTTCCCCGATGTCAATGTATCATCCCAGGTTGTTTTTTTGACGGTCCTTGGGCCCAGCGATGCCCCCAGGATTTCGACAACGGTTACACAAATTTCCCGCCGTGATGTTTCCACGACGCGCGCATGTCTGGAAATGTCACGCTTACCTAG